GGGAAAGAAACATGTGCATCGGGGTTAAATATCACTGCAGTGGACTAGGAAAAATTGCTGTCGTAGGGATGTTTGGTTCTCCTGCGAGGCCTAAAAAAAAATTACACAACTACGGATGACTAGGTTGCAGTTAAAAAAAACCCAAATCCTTCAAAGAATCATCACAGTTTGGCTATCCTGTTGCTTGAATGTTGCCCTAATGCCTTATTGCGTATATCTTATTCTGCTACCGTGATTTCTATGCAATTGCAAAGTTTGCAGGGTTGGCATTGTCTTTGCCTGTCGGTTTATGTAGCTCTCTATCATAATGGCTCACTGCTTATGATTATGACAAGCAGTGGTGGGTACAAGTTTTGAAAGCAAGTATTCTCAAAATACTCAATATATTATGCAAATTCTCTAACCATAAGAAATGGGTTAAATCCAGAGAAATATAAATTTTATATCCTGCCACACAGAAACAAGTACTCAGCATTTGAAAATTGTGGTAACTTAGAGAAGCAAGTCAAAAAGGGGGGAAGGTGGAACATGCAGGGGCTGAGGTACGCTAGCTGCATACGTCTGGAGGGTAAAAACAACGTCACTAGCTAACGTATGTGGTATGTTTGGCAGTGTATGCAGTATGAGAGGTGTTTTTTTTTTCCTAGACAGCAGTGCTTCATGTTGCAGCTCACAGCTGGCATTCCAAAATAATTTGTTAGCTAAGGCTGCTTGTTTACAGATTATAAATACTGGTTATCCGTAATATAGATCATATGCCTGATGAAAAATCCATGTTTCTAGCTGAAGGCATGTGGTTGTCTAGAGGCAGAGAACATGATTCTTTCTCTCTGCAATGCTTGCATAAAAGATTGAAGACTATTGTGAGAAAGATGGTGGTAGCGCTTGTGCAAAAATCCTCATTAGCTACCATTGGGATTTTGGGTGGAGATTAAGACAGCAGTTAAAATCTGAAAAATCCTAGATGATTTGAGAAACTCCTACTTTAGCATTTGACTGCTGCTCAGGTAAATCAGTTTGTATTATAGGATAAATTTAAAGTGCAAGTAAAATAAACATTTTTTTATTCGTCACTTCTGTCTTTATGCGTACAGCCCACACCCATAAAGTTGCACAGGAAATAATAGTTCCCTGTGTATTAGTACTACTGCCATGCTGCATTTTGCACAAGAATTCCTCATCCTCAGTTTTTGACCTCTTCTTTTTATCTCTAACTAGCCAGCGTGGATTTCCGTCTAGGGTTTGCTGCAAATGTCATGCCTGAGCCGGTAACTAGCAGAGAATTATATGGCTGGAAGATCCGGCTAATGGCATGGGTTTCTTTTTCCAGGGGAAATTACTGTCTCTCAAGAACTGAAGCCTTTTGTAGAAGCCCATTTGGTTTGCCTACCATTATCTGGTAAAACAGAGGCGTTCAAAATCTATGCTTTTTGAGATAACGAAATGTTTTTTTTAAAAAAACCCAAGTTTCTACTTGGTTGTTCAGATGGTACAGTAGGACATAAGTGCCTTAACATAACTTCTAAAATTCTTTCAGAAGTCATGAATTTTTTTTAAGTACACATGCCTTCTGATAGCCCTTAGTGAATTTGTAGATTACCTCGATGTAGCTTTCCAGCTCGGTTTTATGCTTTGAAAAGGAAGATTTTATTATTTTTGCCTGTTTCCAGTCCCCCTGTATTTTTTTTAATGCAGCTACAAGGGTGTTGGAAGACATTCCAGAGTAGAGGGGAGGGACCTTCTTTCTTTCTTTCTTTCTTTCAATCAGTTGTTTGGAATATGGAGCCGATGACTCTGTTGTTATTATCATAGTTCTTTCATATTCTTTCCTATTCTCCCTCATACCTCAAAATATGTCTTCTGGAATTTGGAATGGCCTCAGCTTTGCTTGCTTAGAATGGCAGGGTCTGTGGGACAGGATTTTGAAAGGTAAGGCACTATTGTAAATAGTGTGGGCAACTTAAAGAAAATAAAATTTAGGAATTTCATGTATCTGCATCTTTGGAAGTTACCCTCCAGAGGAAGATATGAAAGAAATGGATTCCCAGATATTCTATAAAATTATAAAAGAGGGACAAGGAGCGAGGGGGGCTGTGGATCAGAGCAAGCATTTGTTTTGTTGCTCAGTCCATGAGGTTAAATAGATATGAGTCACGAAGGCATTGCAGTTGCTGTGTTTTCATGATTTTTGCATTACATTTATATTTTTCTTAAGAATGAGTTTTGGGTTGTAAATTAATCAAAATAATTTCCAAGGCTTTCCTTATGGTAGAGGATTTTGCAATTCCAAGTAAATTGGAATTTTGCAGTTGAAAAGAAAACACTTTCGTAACTCTAGACTTTCTTTTTCACTTATAAATGGTGACTTCTCATTATACTGCTCGTTACTACTTCTGAATTATCCAATCTTCTCATAATACTGCTTCTTGCTACTTCTCAAATATTATTATGTTTTCCTTAAAGGAAGCTAAGCTTTTGGTGGTTACAGAGTTATTTTAGAAATTTTGTCCCAGGGGACAAAAGTCCCTACTTGGGGACAAGCACTGGATTGCTTGGAAGAATGATTTGTATTTTTGTCCCCCTCTCATCAGTTTTCCTGGACTCAAATATTTTAATTTCATTATTTTAATACGAAATCTCTTGTCTTGAAGGAGAGGGTTTATACAGAAGCAGAGTTCAGGCTAAGGATCTTGGCTGTCTTAGATGATAGAGACTTCTTGGGAAGAGCAGCTATCCTAAGGAATGGCCTACCAAGTCAAGGCCGTGGTCCTTCATGTGACGGTTTAATACTGTGTTGAGCAGAATTTGGTACCAATAATATAGGTCTTGATCCTCCCGTGCAGTTTTTGCCCTAATCAAACACAGAAGAGATGTGTCTTTCAGTATACTTGGACAGCAATTTGTGTCTGTTTTGGATCAGAAAAGTTAAAAGAAAAGACCAAACAAACCAAAACCCTAAAACAACCACATCTGTTGCTGATCACCCATCAGATAATATTGTCTTTGGTCCACACTCTCCCTGATCTTGGCTACTGTGGGACTGGGGAGAACAGGTAGTGAATGTAGGGATAAGCAAGAAAGATCCAGAGTTCTGTGGTTCAAAATCAAGATTTTTATTTGTTTGGGGTGGGAAGGTCAGTATTAGATCAGAAGATAATGCCTTCCTCCTTGTATTGCTGATCTGTCCTTTCACACTTCTTGATTGACGTGCACCGTAACTCATTTAAAGTCCACCAAAATAATATATTCATAAAATGTGAAAACCTTAGATTACAGGTTGAAGAGTTTCCAGTTGCTGCTACTGCGCTGTGACCAAAGTAGCAAGCAGGGATCCTTCCACCTGTTAGGCCAGTTACAAAGGAGTCATACGAGACAGACATATGTACAGCCTTATTTTTCTTTGTGTCTTCTATTCTTCACCTTGGGTTGTGCTTATTGTACCTAGAGTGAGCTTCAGATGGTTTGTTTTCTTAAGGTGCGTTGTGAAATGCCTAATAAATGTTGACCCTGGTGTTCACTCAGATCAGCTCACTGTACCAGCAACACCGCCTTAATACTCATGTGTGCCCACACGCAAAAAGACATTTTATTAACCTTAAAAAAAAAGCACAGTCTTGCGTGAACTTGTAGATAATTCCATGCACCATCAGTTCCTTGCGAAGTGAAGATCATGCCTGTTTTGAGGTGTGGGGTGTTTGTTAGCCTTGGTTAGCCTTACTTTGTAGACAAAAGGCTCTGAAGCACTGAAGTAGCTCCTTAATCTCAGGAACAAGATTTTGCAGTTACAATAGATAGGTGAATACGTTAACTCAGTACTCTGTAATGGCCAAAGAAAAGCATGTGGGAAAAAATAGGGAAGCAGAAAAAACATATAACTGTGCATCTCTGTTTTAATTGGTTTGTGTGACTTTCAAAAAGGGCGTTATGGAACTGGAAAACATACAGATCAGTGAAATGGGGAATAATGAGGGGTAATTAAAAATGACTTCTGTACAAAGAATGACAAGAGTTTTTGAACTCTGAAAAGAGTTAAGGGAAAGTGAGGTAGGGTAGAAGCCTATGAAATCCTGAACATCATGGAGAGAGTACAAAATGATTGTTTACTGTTTCTTTCCAAACAAAAACTAGCGAACCTCAAGTTCAGCTTTTAAGAGTGGGGATCAGAACAAACAGCAGGTGATGTACTTCACTTGACCCTAAACCATGAGGTAATGCAGAAAAGAGAAAGACAAATTCTGAAAGTAGAGAGACTCAGCGGTATGTCTAAAAAGTGTCACACATCTCCTTTTGCCAATTCCTGTTTTCCTGTCGTTCCTAAGTTGCTTGGCTGTGAGAGTATGTATTTTCTTGACTCAGTGTTTCTTTTTAAGAATGTCAGTTTTTCCCTACATGCGTTTAAACTTTGAAAGTGAACAGGTAAGCCAGTTTTTCAGTCACTTGATTCCTGAAACAAGAATTTAATGAGATTTTTTAAAAGTTTTCTGAGAGGACAAATTCCTGATTCTAGATCACCTGCGTCCCAACTGGATAAAATTATAAGGTGTCAGAATACATTTGGAGTATGTTGAGCTTTAGGGGAGTTGTCATCTCTGTTTCCAAGGCACAGGAGGAGGTGATCTGAATTCCTAGCATTTCTTAGGTCGGCAGGGATACATGCCACACCTGTAAACATTCATTCTGAGCACTTCCACCACGAACTGGAAGTGGAAAGACACCCCTCAGAAGATGCACTCATATTTTTTTTGGAACGGGATAGCAGCAGTTTTGGCTTCCTGTGCTACAGTGTCTAATAGTTGTCTCTTAACCTACTAGTCTGTTGGAGAGAATCTGTAAGACTTCAGAAGAATTTTTAGGTAATCGTGGCTGAAAGTATTTAATCTCTGGATGTTTGCCATTGAGTAGTTTGTCAATATTTGTTTTGTTTCAGTCTTGACAAAGGCAACGCATCTTAAAAAATATTTTGACCAATGTTTTAAATTCTTCTGCTTTTAGGAACTGATATTGCTGCCGGAGAGGAGGTTGCAATTAAGTTGGAATGTGTGAAAACCAAACATCCTCAACTCCACATCGAGAGTAAAATCTACAAAATGATGCAGGGCGGAGGCAAGCAAATTATTTTCCTTCTTCAGAGATTTAACTGGTTTTATGTCTTAGATGTATCTGCCACTTGGAAGTATTTAATGGTTAAGATCTCTTTTGACATATAAGGAGAAGGTGGGAAAGGTGGCAGGGTAGACGAAGAGCAGTATCTCAGCTCTCCTGCGAGTGATGTAGAGTAGCAGTTCCAAATCCATGGCTACCAAACTTCATGATAACCACTAAGATCCTCCAATGTTGCTCGTGGTCCCAGAATGTTAAAATGTGAAAACCTTGAGCAATGTGGAACAAAATTTGGTCCCATCTGGCAGTACACTGATTGACTTCTGTTTCTCAGTGAAAGATGGTAACCACTGTTCTGAACCGTTTAGCCTGATTTGCTTATTATGGTAGCACAATTCTAAACTTAGTAAATTCAGGTTAATTTTTGTTATATATGTTAACATTCTTTCTTCTGAGTTAAAAATACTTCCTCGCTGTGGTAATTCTAAGACAAAATGGCATGAGTAGTAGAGAACGGGAGTGAAGCAACTTTGTAGCTAGTGCGTGGTACTCTGCTAGGGTAACTCACTCATGTATTTTGGAATTCTGCAAAGGTAAGATACCCATGCAGTTCTGGGACATAAACTTGGTGTAGGTAAGTTTTGGTTTTGTTTCATAGTCCCTTGCATTCTTCCTGAATGAGGCTATACTTTGCATAAAGACTACATTCCACACTGTATCTCAAATGCAAAATACAGTAATCGTACATCTAGAAATGGATGATAACGTGTATTTGCATTTAGTTACTTTTTAATTCCTGCCTCATTCAGTTGCCGCCCGTGTGTAACCTGAATGGCCTTCATATACTAAAATGCTTCCTTTATGGGCTTACTAAGGCTGTGATGGTGGGTTCCCTCTGAGGATGGATGCTGCGGAGGCAGGTGGCAGAAGGTTAGTTTCCATCTGAAAAAGGGTTTCTCTGTGAAGGGAATTCGGGGAAAAATAATGCATATCAAGTAAAGGTAAGAGTTTAAAACGGGTGAATTGTACCGTTTCACTTCCAAAATGGATAAGACTAGCTCAAAGTAAAGGCATTTGAAATTCTGAATAAGGCTGTCTACATACAGGTTTAATTCAAAATATTCGAGCAATTCTGCAGGTTTGTGTGAAATAACTTTCCTATGTTTCTCCATAAAGCGGGGCTAATTTTAGCGCGCTCAAGCTGAATGTATAACGCATCTCATAAACAATGCTACTTTGGTAGAGATTCACCAAACAGCAAATACAATGGAACTGGAGGAAAGACGAGTATGAAGCAAGGGTGAAAATTCATTGCAAATTGACATGGAAGAGAGAGATATTTTATAGTGATCTTGTAGGCTTTGAAACAAAGAAGCTAATTTCTAAGGCATTCTTCAGTAACAATATTTAGTGGTTTGTCAGCGTCTTTATTTTCAGACTTCCAATTTGCTCCTTATTGCCATATTGGAGACTACATAAGTATTAATACTTGTAAAATGCTTCGGGTTCAAATCCAGCAAAAACACTAAATACTTTTAGGTTACAAGCTAAGCATAAAGACTGGGAGGTTTCTGGGGAAGAGGAAAAATGCTATTTTTAGACCTCTGTTGCTATAATTTTATATTGGTTCTGCTGTGAAATTATCAAACTTTTCATTTCGGAATGGCTGAAGGTAGCATAAAATATTAAGCTTCACTGTAAATACAAACATTCACAGTCATGACCCTCTTAGAATTCACCTTAAGAGCCTTGAAGATTTGTGTGTATGAACTGTATAAATCAAATTGCTATACTGAATAAACTGTTTCCTTTTTTCTAGTGGGTATTCCTACAATTAAGTGGTGTGGAGCTGAAGGGGACTACAACGTAATGGTGATGGAGCTGTTGGGACCAAGTCTTGAAGATCTCTTCAATTTTTGTTCAAGGAAATTTAGTCTCAAGACAGTCCTGTTACTCGCTGACCAAATGGTAGGAAACTGCTTTGTTGATCTTGATGGTGCAGTATGTTGGGATATTAAAATTTCTTGAGAAATCATGACCAACTATGTTTTATTTCTGTAATTTAGAGTTGAATGGGCTGTATCATTAGAGAAAAGACTAAAAAACAGGTTTCTTTCCGTAAATATAAAGTGTCCCATCAAAAGCGATTACAAAGTCTTAATTTGGTTTTTAAAAACTGGGCCTGTGCTGTTTGCAAACCAGGTGTTGTGTTGCTCAAAGACAAAGAAATTCCCCCAAGGAAATTGTGTTGTTTGGAAATAAATGTAAAACAGACACAGGAAAAGAGCTGGAGAGAAGGTTTATCTATTGTCTTCTAAATGGTGTTCTCTTTAATGCCCTTACGTTTTACAATAAAAAGTTTCTTTACCTCTTTTATCATTAAGACAGTGTTGCTAGTGTTTTTATAAGAAAAAAGATGTATTCCCAGTCTCTTGACGATTTTTTTTCCCCTCTGTATTTAGATTAGTCGAATTGAATATATTCACTCTAAGAACTTCATCCACCGAGACGTGAAGCCAGATAACTTCTTAATGGGTCTGGGGAAGAAAGGCAATCTTGTCTACATAATAGACTTTGGATTAGCAAAGAAGTATCGAGATGCTCGAACTCACCAACATATTCCATATCGTGAAAATAAAAACTTAACAGGAACTGCCCGTTATGCATCCATCAACACTCATCTTGGAATTGGTGAGCTGGGGAAAGCAATAAATAGAAACTTCAGAAGTGTTGATGCACATAATTTTAGTGCAAGTAGATGTTGCTTTATGGAGGCATAGAAGACAGTCCCTATTTCTGGCACTAACGGTGCAGCATGCTTGGCCTCGTATCTCTTGATTGGGTGGGATTTGGTCAGTTTGTCATTCTCAGGAATTAGCACATTTTTTAATAACTGCAAGGGTGATAGGCTTTTTCTTGTACTGGATGAGTTTATCATGGGCATAGTAATTCTCAGCTATCTCTTGTTTTTCTAAGGGTGTTATGACAGTCTTGTTGCACAGTCTTTTGTTTTTCCAGTAGAAAATGAAACCTAATGAGTCCACTTTTTTATGCTGTTGTAGAGCAATCTCGCAGAGATGACTTGGAGTCCTTGGGCTATGTACTGATGTATTTTAACCTGGGCTCCCTCCCCTGGCAGGGACTGAAAGCAGCAACAAAGAGGCAGAAATACGAACGTATCAGTGAAAAGAAAATGTCTACACCCATTGAGGTTTTGTGTAAAGGATATCCTTGTAAGTTACTCTTTTGTGGCACTAGGCCTACATGTTCGCGTTGTAGTGGTATTTCTTCTTTCTTTACACTGAATTCTACCAGTCTTTTTTACTTCTCTCTCTCTCTTTTTTTTTCTTCCCTCCACCCCTGCCATGATTGAGCACGTCCGTGATAAAGATACTGTGCTTTCAAGACTGGGACCTCTGTGATCGTAGACCATTTCTAATTATCCTTAGTCTTAACTATTAGTAAACAATCATTGCAGTGCCCTCGAGTTGAAGAGTAGCGTGGTTCATCTGATTTGCGCTGTATGGTGTGTACGTGTGTCGATGCTGGCTGGATAACTCTAAGCTTTTTGAGAAACTACCCATCTTTTCGTATGTGTGGGTACTGTTTCTTGGATGAATCAGACTGTGTAGTCAGATGCACCTCTTACCTATTGCAGTTTTTTCCCTTGGGAATTGTCATTCCAGGTTCATCTAGTTTGGCCTGTTGATGGCCAGCATCTGTGAGAGGCATAAGAAACCCTCCTATATCCTAGCATCATGCCTCAAAGCTGTTCTGTTTCTCAATTTGGTATTTACACCACAGTAATAACTAGGCATTTTTGAGCCCCGCAAAACGATACTTAAATCTGTTTTAAACCTTGTTAGCGTTAGCTGCCATCAGAGAATATTGTTGATCTTTCATGAAGAGTTCTGTCTCTGTTCTTTCCATGCTTCGACAGCTAGGTATGATAACGAGAACTATAGTTTTTGTTATGGTTGTATGAAAACTTATTGTCTTTGATCTGTTTCAAATGTTGCTTCATACATGTTCCTTTACATTTATTAACTATGTTTTTTCTCTGGGCTTAACAGGCAGGGAAGACTAATCAACTTTTCTTGTGCTGTTTCTTAGAATTTCTTTCTTAACGTAAATTATTATTATTTCAGCCGGAGAGACTTGAGCCCAAAAGCTGGTATTTTGATACTGCTATTCTCTCTGGTGCATTGGATTCACAACAATGTTCTTTTTTTGCTGTGTAACTAATATTTCATGTGCCATATAAAAACAGGTGTTCAGACTATTGCAAATCTAAAATTGTAGCATGACTTACATGGGAAATTTATATGGGTCCCCTAGTTTTTGCATGTTTTGTGAGCTGGCAGACATGAATCTTTACGTGACTTAACAACAAAGAGATGCTATTCTGTGTCCTGCAAGAAATTACATTTAAATATATTCAAAGCAAAGAAAGGCAAAAAAATCTCTTTTCTTTGCTCAACGGTAGTTTTAAACCTGTCGTCCCCCTGCCCACTGTTGGTTAAAGAACTCTAATATTGGGTCCTCTCTGCCGTTAACAAATGAGATCTTTGCCTACTCTGTGATAGACAAATAAATAATTTCCTTTTCAGGATTGACTTGATAGATGGGCTATAGTGTTACCTCCAGTAGATTTCTAGTATTAGGTCATTATTCTTTTTCTTATGCTTAGGAGATTCTCTATTTGTTGGGTTTGGGGTGGTTGGGGGTTTTTTGTGAGTCAGAGTTATAAAAAGCAAATGTGAAGCTGAGGGAAAAAAACAGACTTTCTTTTATTACAGCTGAATTTGCCACATACTTGAATTTCTGCCGTTCTTTGCGCTTTGATGACAAACCGGACTATTCCTATCTAAGGCAATTATTCAGAAACCTTTTCCACCGACAAGGGTTCTCGTATGACTATGTGTTTGACTGGAACATGCTGAAATTTGTGAGTAGCTGATATAGCTTTCTAAAACTTTTTTTTGGTAATGGTATTTTTTTTTTTTTACTACATTGTCAGTTTCGAGTATCTTAACTGATACTGATATTGTAAGATTGCCTTGCCTTTTTCCTCCTAGAAGCTCTACTGTCTAGAAAAAAAGGTCAGGAAATGAGGAAAGGCAGGAGATAGAGAAGCCATAAGATGGGGGTTGAATGACAACTGAGTTAAAGTTACAGGTTTTAAATGTGTAAGGCTTCTGAGATACTTCCTTCAGGGCAGTCACCAGGCTAAGCTGCGGAATTATTATTTTCTCCCACCTTGATCTTCAGCCAGGTCATTTGCAACTGTTGAGGAGGTGTCCAGCTGCCGTAACAGTATGTGTGTACAATAGCATTTTGAAGACTGTCCCAGCAGTTGTATGAACAAAATTTATAGCAGTTCTTGAGAAATTTTACCAAAATAATTAATGCCCTGGCAAATTTAAGTTCACGGGTTGTCCAGTTCTTTGTTTTCAGTATTTTTCTGCAAATATATAGTTGTAAGCTCAATAATCCACCAAGTTGTTCACTAGTCTTGACCCGTAGGGTGCCAGCAGAGCGGCTGAAGATGCTGAACGTGAAAGGCGAGAACGAGAGGAAAGATTGAGACACACACGAAATCCAGCTGTGCGTGGATTACCCTCCACTGCTTCTGGCAGGCTGAGAGGGACGCAAGATGTAGCTCCTCCTACTCCTCTTACCCCAACTTCACATGCTGGTGAGTAAGCAAACACCTGGATAGATGCACATTGTAGGCTACTCTAATTTGCAGTTTGTTCCTGGTCATTGGAAATTTGAAATTAGGATAGCCGAGTGGTATTTGTCTCTGGTCAGGGTTTGGGTTTTTTGTTTGTTTTTTCTCCCCCTTGCTTTTGAGTAGATTGAAAGTAATTGTATATACTCATTACCTGCCAATTGCTACCTAGATTTCTGTGAATGTAAAACAAAGGCCTTGATTTCTCTTGTTTGACACTGTGGAAAGTTTTATATGCAAACAGCGAGAGTGTAATTTTTCCAGTGGCCATATTATAGTCCCATTTCTTGTTACGAGAATCTAATGCAGTTTTTCTCACAGCCAACACCTCTCCTCGGCCAGTATCTGGTATGGAACGAGAAAGGAAAGTGAGTATGAGATTGCATCGCGGTGCCCCAGTCAATATCTCGTCGTCTGACTTAACAGGCCGACAAGATACCTCTCGCATGTCAACTTCGCAGGTAAAAAAGATTTCTGTGTAATGGAAAAATGAGGGTGATTTGATAAAGTTAATTTGCCAAAAGAACATACCAGCTAATTGATGTGATTTCATACTGATTTTGCAGATGATGTTGACTTGTATAAATACTTGACATTTTAACTGAATGTTTGTGGTGTGGCTGTAGAATACTGCAAATTTTTTATTTTTTTACCTTGGTAGCAGTAAGCATAAAATACTCAAAGTAATACAGAGTCATTGGTGTATGAGATGATGCAAAATCATAGAGATACAGCATTTTTACCTACAATTATGGTGTTTAGCTCCTTTGCTCATTGAATTTCTTGTATCTGTTATCAATGAGGCAGCAGAGTAAATTAGACGCAATTGTGAGTCATGTTTCCAAATGAACAGAGCAGAGAATATTAGTGCAGAATAGACAAGAAATTGTTGGTGAAGAACAGAAAAGTGCAAAAGTGAAGAAATGTTGTACTGTGGTACTGTAATTCAGAGCAGAGAAGAAGCCACGTACGTGGATGATGGATAGGTTGCAGAAGGCTCATTTGAAGAGGATGGCAGGAGGATGAATGATACAGTGATTCATAGCCATAGTCAGCATGGAAATCATCCTCATGGTCACAGTGACTTAGCAAAGAGATTTTAGGAATGCTTCTTTTTAAGACTGACAAGCAATGTTTAAATATATTTTTAACTCTTTATGCTATAGCTGAAACATTCCTTTTTCAGGATATTCACACAGACTTGTCCTAAGTAGTGTGTGGCCTGGCTTTGTACAGCTTACCTTCAGTCTCGCCTGCGGAATGGGGAATCGCCTGTACTGTAGGCATACTGCAACGTTGCTGGGAGAGCAATCTGTTACGAGGCCTGGTGCAGTCGCCTAGGGGTTTTTCCATCACGCCACAATGATGTGCTGGAGTTCTAACTGCATAATTTTTGCTGTGGACTCATTTTATTCCTTGTTGACGGAGCATATTGATAAAAATTAACTTGATTCCTTTTGGCTTCATCATTTAATTGGCAGAATTAATTATTTTGGATAGTACGTGTTCTTATATATAAAATCTTACTGCTAGAGGGAACGCTCTGTTAGATGGAGGCCAGGTGGGTATCTCTAATGAAGACTGAAGGTGAACTGGATTGGAGAAACAATTCTGCTGTAACAAAAGTGAAGTGGGATTTTGGGGGTTGGTTTTCAGCTGAATGAATTGTTTCACCATGTAGCTGCACAAATATTTGTGCTTGCACAGGGGATGAACAGTTCAGGAGCAGAAATGCCTGGATGAGAATAGGAGACAAGTGAGGTTTTCTTTGTTGGCTTTGGTGGCAATTTTTGCCAGCTTAAATTGTTCACTGAACTACAATTCTTGCCACCAGAAATTCTCACGTTGAAATATTTTATGGCTGAAGTTTGTAAACGGTATGAAAACAAAGAGGGTAGAACTGCGCATAGTTATGGATCTTGTTAATATGCATAAATACCTGATAGAAGGATGTAAAGAAGGTCCGGCCAGACTCTTCTGAGAGCAATATCCAGTGAATGGACAACGGACAGTGGGCACAAATTGAAATATAAAAAATTCCATTTAGGCATAAGAGAAAACTTTTTTACTACGAGGGTGGGCAAGGGCTGGAACAGGTTGCCCTAAGAGGTTGTGGAGTCTCCCTCTTCTGAATTACTCGGAACCCAATTGGACATTGTCCTGAAGGGCCTGCTCTAGTTGACTGCACTTTGGGCAGTGGGATGGGACTAGATGGTCTCCAGGGGTCCCTTCTGACCTCGGCTGTTCTGTGCGGCTGTGACGCCGAGTTCCCCCAAACGTTTACTCAAACGTAAAGATGGTTTCCTGGTAAAGTGTGTGTGCCCAGGGTTTCTCTCTGGCATTCTAAGCAAATCTCAGATGCTTTGTCTCTGTTACCGGTCAGATAAATAATTAATGGGAGTAACAGAAATAAGTGCAGTGATGTTACTTGCCTATGAGAGTATATCTTTAATTTTTTGCTATATTACTGACATGTAGCTCTGTGCGTGTGACACTTTTCTAAACATTGTAAGGTACGAGTAATCCAGCTGGGTTTGCAGATACATTTTGGTTCTGCCTGACTTGTAAAATGGGAATATTCTGAGATTGTGTAGGACTGTGGGTTTTTTTGAGTAATCTTTGAATATCCAGATGTATAATTTGTGCACTTGGCCAACAGTACAGTCTGGCTTAATGGCACATTTCCATACCTGCCCTTTTTAACACTGCTCCAAGTACGGGATCACTCGGTTGACTTCTTTACAATGCCAGTAGCGGCCTAGTCGGGACCTTCTCTGAGTTTGTTAGAATTAATCATTCATCATCTGTTATCTTCATTTAGTTCTTATCAAGGCAGTGAACCACTGCTGGTCTCGACTGAATAACAGTGTGTGACTGTAGTATAATTTAAACAGCTTCCCTTTGGCTTCTCGCATTTGGAAGGCAAGAGAGATTTACTTAGACTTTACCTTACAACACTTCCCCTTGAGCTTGTTAGAGAAAATTCACTTTTCATTTTCCCAGTCCTCGCTTACTCCGTTAGCAGGCAAGATGGCTCAAGTTGCAAGTTTTCATAGCTTACGCTCTTACTATCTTCGTAACGTTAAAGTAGTTCTATCCATAATCAGAATTTATCCTTGGATGTTAACCAGGTTACCAATTAAAGCCGTGGGTTTCCCGTTTTCTTTATATCTTGTTCTTAGGAAAACCTAAAGTATCCAACTCGCATGGCAAGGTTATTAAGGAGAATTTTGATTGGCTAGGTGTAAGAGTATAGAAAATCATCCGTACCGGTTCTTATCAGGAGAACAGTAAAGAACTGTTTGTCCATGCCCATTCCAAGTGTGTTAGTTTCCTTTGTAAGTCTTAAGTAAATATGCTACCGCTGTTCCTTTTCAGGAAGTGCTTAGACCATACTCCTGGTAGTAAGCAGCTTTTAAAGTTTGCTATGCAGATCTACAGATGTCTTATGTTAAGAACTACATTTGTTAGAGTTGTTATTTATAACTCGATAAATTACTTCTGTTATTTTATTTATTTGGATGCCTTGGTTTGGTGAGGCAACGCCATACCTGTAATCTCCACTTCTCATCATCTAGAGGAAGGGCTACTGCTTGCTAAACTCTGGGCAATGGAAATGTGCAGAGGTTACTCAAAGAAATAATGAAAGCTACTTATAAGTAGAGTTCTTAAAGATGACTCCACGTTTTTATCTTTCTTTTTTCCAAATGAGTTGTGATCAGTTCAGATGGGAACTGAAGACTAAGGCTGGGAATGAAGATAATACAAACCAAAATTCTCTTATGGAAAATAGGTCTTCTCAGAGAAATTTAACACTCATGGAAAAAGGGTAATTGGTAAGGAGAGCAAACCAGGTGTCATGTATATTCCCCACCTCCAAGGTATTTTCCACATAGTACCTAAATAATTCTCCTTAGAAAGACTAGCACTTAGTAACACAAAGTAACGAATGTTTATTGGAGTAACGACTAGCATGTCTATGAAACTTAAGTGTTTCTAAGGAAATTACGTAAATTCTATGGCACACATTATTCAGTACTTTTCTGGATTATATGGAAGTGAATGCAACAGCTAAAAACCTGCAAGTTGTGAGATGTTTGACAGCGATAAACATTAGTGAGAGTTGAGCAGTCAGGTAAAGCCTATTCAAATAAAACGTGTATTACTGCAGTACTCCAAAACCTGGTTAGGATGAAGGAGTGGAGCCCATTGTCTTGTACGTGGGAACTATATCTGTGGTAAGCAACGACTGCGGAGGCTTTAGGTGTAACGTTGGAGAGGTTAGTGTGGTGTCATCATGAAAGGGCGTAATTTCATCCTTGAATCTATGTACAATACAGAAATGAACAGAAATGGAGAGGTTATTTCATGTCATTAATGAGACAGATGCTGGAATGTTACGCTTATTTCAGTTCTCAGTATCTTAAATTGTTGGAAAACTAAGTAACACAAAGAAGAGCCATAAAAATTGAGCTTGGGAAAACAGATTGTACAATGCAAGAATTTCAAATCAGTGCCTTTCAGTTTGTCTGAAAGGTAAGAGATCGTCTTGAGTTAGTTGGTGTAGTATTTTAAAGACCATGATTTTAACAGGAACTGACATACGTGCAGAAAACGTATGTGAAGAACCTATTGCTTAAAATCAAAACCACTCACGTTTAAAGAAAAGTGAAACAGAGGTCTAAGTGAAAGCGGTTAACCACTGAAACAACTTCTAGAAGTAGACCACGTCCCCTTTGCATTTACATCAAAACTGGATTCATTTGTAGGTGGTGTATTCAGGTCTAAAGCAAGCCTAAATTACAGTTCCCTGTGCAATGAAAAGTTGTGATCTGTGATGGACAGAAAATCCTACCAGCTGTTAAAAGATCCTTCTGCTCTTAAGCTTTATGAGTGAGTTGTTCACGAAGTCTCCTTTACGTAGTCAGTCTTTAAATGTTAAGAAACGTAGTAAAGGAGGTCATGAGTACTCTAGTAAACACTACTTTGAATCAGTGCTGTCGGTCCACATTGCACAGGCTGCATCCCGAAAGCAGTGATCATCTCGAGAGTCTAGTTATAGGTGAGTAGCCTTCATTTCCTTCCACAGAAGGTTCGGTCTGACGGCTCATGGTATACAGTAAGTTTAATTTTTTTTCCTGAACGTAGCATGTTCAGCACCCAACAGTCAAAGCTGTGCGTAATTCCTACTGGTAATAGAGGTATTCTGTCCGTAGTTGGAAGAAAAGATTGGAATGCTGCACAAAGAAATACTTGATTAAGTCTTTTTGACAGAAGAAGTTTTTAGAAGACTGTAGCCAACACTGGCATTGAACAACTTAAGTGTTGTGCTGCTTCACTGGGGAAAAAGCAACATACTTCCAATGCCTCTGCATTTTCCATCTCCTCATGAGCAAATCTTTCTCCATATATCCATCTTAATAGGCATCATCCTCTGCATTGTTCTTCCGACCCTGTCAGCTTTCTTTGAGGACTAATGATTTGTTCCTTTTACGTATCTCTTAATATGATAGAAATGCCTTATAGAAGTCTGAAATCAGAGCTCCTCAAAAGATATATTTGCCACTGGCAGTTTAGGTTGGATATTTGTTAGACATCTTTATATATCGGGGCAGTGGAACTGTTACAAATTGCTGTCTTTTCCCCTACCTCAGAATAGCATTCCTTTCGAACACCATGGCAAGTAGCTGCTCGTCTCCTTTCGTTGGAAGGCAGCACTGGGTGAGTGCTTCTCATTAGACACCAAAGCTTTGGATGGGGTGGGGAAAAAAAAATCTCTGGAAACATCCAACTTTGCTTCTTCCTCTCACATTATCTCATAGTTGTACCTGTGCCTTCCGGTCAGATACTTGATGGAGCATTGGTTTTTCTCTAACTTAAAAGTAAATGTCCTTCCAAAAGTTGAATTACTGCTGCTGTTCCACTTGGAGTCTTAAGCAGAATTGACAAAAATAGTGACTTAAAAAGTCCCTAAAATCGTTCAATCATCAACAATAAAATAAAATAACCAAGTCTAAATTTTAGCTGTTTGAGAATTACATGTCTTTCCAGGGATGTTCATGCAGCAGTGTGTCATCCATTCAAAACCAAATCTGCTTCAGAATCGTAAAACCAAAATACTTGTATGAAGACTCAATTGACTGTATTACTCAAATGAGGCTCTGTCTTGTCGTGAATGGAATGTTCTACTCCAGCCATATCCATTTTTCACTGGTGTATATTCTTCTCCATTCCTTATGAGCTGTCATTTTAAAAACAACTCAGATCTATTCAGGTCTATATTTAAAAAATGTTCACGTACTAATGAGCATAGTTTGAACATGAGCATCTCGGAGGTGGACAGACTTGGATTTGGGTATTTCGAACTCCTTTCCACTGTTCAGTGCAGTAGAAGTTTCTGCCTTTCTGTGCGCAGCTTTTGGCTTTTGAGTCTGTTCTGCTTTTGGCAATAACAGGCTTCGTCAGGGAAATAAGTTTCAGTTGGAATCTGAACCTCGATGGCTGAAGGATGCTTTCTTAAGTATTTCAGGAGCTTCTTTGCTTTGCTTCTTACTAAAAAAAGGCTGTGAGATTTTTCTGTTCCTTAGTAAATTCTGTTGTATAACTCCGTCTGCTGCCTCACTTTCTCCATAAAGCCTAAGCTTGCACTAATCCTGTATCTCTAGTTGATGAAGAATCCTGCTGTTCCTCTCCTGTTTTCTCCTCCTGCTTTGTGTGCTTGGCTGACTGTGCACAAGCTGCTTCGTAAACAGTTTGTAACATTAAAAAGATCCAACTGTAAATGACAACACTTTGAAATTCAATTATCAGACATTAGTCAAAAATTCAAAAATAAAAAACCAAATTTAACAAAAGGCAAACCTAAAGCTTTGCATCGGAAAGCTTGTGTGCGGGAGACATGCAGATTCTGGTCTGCTCGGAGTTGTGTCTGCGTTGGTTGGCCTTTACTGTATGCCTCACTATTTGTAGCTGTTTACGACTGAAATTAATACTGAATACTGATTCAGCTACTTAGACATTTCTTGCTTCTTAAATTGCAGTGATGTGTCATTGTTTTTCACAGTGAAAGTGTTACTGAAATAATGTTACACTGTTACTGATATAGGTCAAGCTGTGGAAATTAATGAAGTGTCTTTTAACACAATGTCCCATGAAAAATGAAGAGCCATTGAAAATCATTAAATTTTTTTTACCCTCTTATTGGGATTTTTTTTTTCCAAACTTAATTATTCACTGAGTCTATTTCTACACCTCGGTAGTGTTTTCATCTGGATTGTTCTTTCTTCTGTGCATGTTTATGCTCTGTTTACTTTTCTTCAAAACATCCCCTCTGGCTGGAAAGGTGAATTTTCCATGTTAACTTCTAATAAAGGAGGAAAATACAGGGAACTTCGTGTAGCTACAGGTGGGTGCGAAACATTGTATGGCTCATTGGAGTTTAATTTCACACGCTTACTTCTGGCAACGAATTATTTAAAAGTACATCGCGAGCCACTCGTATGTTAACTGGAAGGATATGTGCTGATGTTGTCTTGTTTTTTGGCTTTGGTAGATTCCTGCTCGGGTAACTACCAGTGTTCTCCAGTCTGCTGTGCACCGATGAAAATTATGTTGCCGTGGAGGGCAGATAATGCATGGCTGATCTCCTATGTTACCAATGGCTTTACTAGCAAAAATACCCTAAACTAGAGCGGAAACGTTACAATTGGAGTTCTCCACGTGACTTAAAAGGCACTTGGAGGAACATGGACAGACTCCAGCAGCTGCCGTTACAGGACGCTTTTGCCAGAAACCCAATGACCTTAAGAGAACCCTGTGGTAACAGGGCTGGAAAAGAAAGATGGTTTACAGAGTTGACCGCCTGTCATCGGATGGCCATTTCAGTTTTCCCTCCACAGGCGGCAGACTTTATCCCCTTTTTATTATTCTACTGTAACTATAAATCTTTTACTTGGTTTAAGAAAGTTTTTTGTATCATTTTGCTAAAATTATTGGCTTAATTCTCTGTAAAGAACTCTTGCTTTTGTCTGATTTAAAAATGTAGAATATAAACTAAACTAAAGGCAATGACTTGAAATTTCTTGTTTAAAAAAATTAGTCTGGCAGGGAACATGTAAATGAATCAAAACAATCTGACTTTATTTAAACTGTTTACTTATTTGTATGGTCCCATTCTGACTGAGACGGTTTTCTCATGTAATTTTTAAAACTGTTAGAATTTTACTTTGCTGTTTGCTGTCTTCATTCACACTTAACATTTAACTTTCCATAACACAAAGGAATTTTTAATGCTCGTTCTTTTTTATAAAAGAGGAGAACTAAATACCCTGCAGGAGAGTCTAAGTATAGTAGAGATGGTGATCATGGATTTCTTTTTTTGTAAAGAATATGAAGGACAAAGTGAAAGAGTGGCATTTGCAGGATTTAGAATTTGAAGGCTTGTCCTATCTCTCTGCTTAGTTTGGGTAAATGGATAGTTTCAAGCATTGTTTTTATTGGTCAGACTTCGTTTCCTGCACTCTGAGGCTGGTTAGCTTGGAGGGTATTGCAAGTGGAAAATACACGTTGCTACTGAGTCTTCAGTGAATTTGCACGTTTCATTCAGCATTTACGTGTTTAAATAAATAAATAGATTCAGGCTTTCTGTTTCGTGCCAAGACTCAAAAAAGGAATGCTTTAAAACAAACAAACAAACAAACCTAATATTGCTGTGAAATCCTGGGAATTTTTACAGTTCAGGTGCATACCATATTTAATTCTTAACTGTATTCAACCTGAGTACGCCCAGAATCATTAGCTAGGAACGAATGACTCGACACGCTTAGGTTGCCCAAAACTGTTGCAGGTGTTGTTAGCACCCGTTGGTTATGAAATATGGGAGATTCTTCATATTGTTTGTTACTGTGAGCGGTCTCCTAAAACAAACGGAGGTATTCTGCCCTCACAGTGCTTGGAGCAGTATCAGAAGTACTGTTTATACTCGTGTGACTGAGGGAATGGGAAGTCCCACCTTGGAAACCAAAGCGCATACAGAGATTTCGTTTGAACAGTTAGGTATTTTGAGAAATTCTTCCCTGCTTGAAAACAAATTCTTTTAAAGGCCTATTGGCCTTCAAAGTTTTATGAAGAGTAATTTTTATTGTTTCGGTGTTTACAAATTGTTTTTTGCCCCTCTCAGAAGTCCACGTATTAAGTATTAGTCACTCCTCTTCGGATGTTTTCCGAGCATTAGCTACTTGCTTATATGTACTCTGGGTCTGACTGGGGAAACCTGGGTTTGGGGACAGTAGGTGGAAAAGCTTAAGAGTTTGATCCATGGATAAGTTTGCATAAGAGAATTATTTCCTCAGTTACTCGAAACTTCAGTATTTTAGGCATGTGCACTACCATTTGAAGAGTCTCACCCTTCACTGTGCTTTCCTTGTAAATATCTGTGGTTACTAATGTACTGCGAGAGGGACTCACAAAGGCAGCCTCTTTATTCGCTCTGTATCTGGAACATTAGATTGCTGTACTATACTTAAAAGTTGACTGCAGACTTCTAGAATTGTACTCACTTGTGGGCAATTTTTGTCCTTCATAATAGTTAAATTCCATCATGCGGAAAATAGTTAGACTGTCTGTATAAACCTGTGTATTGGAAACCAGTATCTCAGAGCACTTCATTTGTACTACCACTGTATTTGTGTACCTTAACAGCTGTGTAAATACATTCATAATAACTTCTATTCTTCTTTGGTGTAACTTACTTACAATGAATCCTTACTCTTTACTTGGTGTAACTTCTTTCTTTCTTCTTTTTTTTGAAGGGGTTTCTGTACCTACAAAGAGCATTTTCGGTTGCAAACATTTGAAGACGTTTTCATGGTACTAAAACTTTCCCCAAAGGCTTTTGGTAGCCAAGGTCAGGATGCAGCAGTTAGGGTATAGAGGAAGAAAGAGAAGGCGTTCATTGCTTTGCTGACAGAAAGCATGGCTTTTGTCTCTGTAAAGGTAAATGGTTTTGTTTGGATATTGCTTCTTTGCCAGGAGTCCTTTTTTCTGAATGCTTGCTCGTGTCAAGTAATACATTGTATTGATACGACGTATGGGAAGAGAATTGCTTTTGAGATTCGATGGGTTATGGGAGCTAGGATAAAAGCAAGAAAAACACTGAGCTCTCCCCACAGTGCCCTGTATAATAAAAGTCCTGGGGTTTGCTATGCAATTCTCAAAAGTCTGCTCATAATCTGAGGGCAAACGCACCCTCAAGAACCCCCTCTGTTTCTGATTAGCAGGCCTTTAAAAGTTGGCAGGATATTTAATTTATCCTCACAGTTGTCATTTAGAACTGGCTATGTGTTTTTATGTGGAAAATGCCACCTCTGCTGCTGTGTTACGTAATCTTGATGGTTACAGAGTCCCTGAACTCTTTGTGGTGCAAGTACCTTGAAAACAATTGAAAATAAATCCTACGCTTTGAGATATTAACTAAAAGCATTTAAGGAGTCTGTATATTCCATGTTAACTTCATGAAAGTACTTAACATCTCCCTTGGAGGAAGGCACGTAGAACTCGGAGGCATCTCATCCTTCGTTCTCCGGTGGGGAAAAACATCGCAAGCACAACCGTGTGTTCTCTTCATCTCCCCACCTTGCAGACCTCTGAGTAGCAGCTGCTCCATAAAACCTGCCCAAGGCAACGCTTGCAGAAATTGAATTTCCCAACCAGAATCTTTACAATGAATTTACAGCTTTGTAAGTAGATCGTTGGCTAGAGCGTACATGTGCATTTCAAGAATATTTAGTTTCAAGAATAACAGAAATACCTTTTTAGCTTTTGCTTTACAAAGGCAGCACTTCATGTGTACAAAATACTAAGTGAAAACAAACAACGCTGTGTTTTTTGTTTTAATAGTGCTGAGCCATCTGGTCAGAAATCTAGATTTAATCCAGTTGTGAGGAAGTGTAATCCACCGTGAACTTAATCCTACAGCAAAGTAGCTTCTAAAATTCACTGGATGAGACAGGTCAATACTGAAGAGGGTTTGCCGTTAAAGAATGCAGTACTTCGTGATTAAACCCGTACACTTCCCTCCGGTCCGTTCAGGTGACAATTCTTGTCGTTACACACACATGTCTAGATTTAAGTGATTGTATGACCCCGAATTGAAGGACTATTTGCATCGTTCAGTAGTTTTGTACCAGGAGAGCGCTCACAGGCCTGATCTTCAGTCAGATCTCTTTCACAGCAAAATCCTGCTAACTTTATCAGCAAATATTTGCACGGGAGTTAACACTTTATCACTTTTTCTCAGACATTGGTGTGTTTTTTCCTGCTTAATCTTTTAAGACTAGTATGCTTCGGTTCTTTTGATGAAACCATTGCGTGCTGCAGGCAGAGGGACAACAGAAAATTAGATGAGATCTGTTTATACACAGTCTACAAAAATAGGCAGTGTACAAAAAATCTTTTTTTAAGATAGTGTTCTTGGTTAACCTCATGTTGGGAAAACTCTCGGCTCAAAAGGCATAGATAAGATCTAGGTCTGAGAAATATGAGTGTAATGGACAAGGAGGAATGCGGAAAAAGGGGAAATGGTGTCTGTCACCCTAAAGCATTAAGCCCTCGTCTGCTGTGACCAACCCGGGACGCTTGGGGTGGGGTGGGATGTGGAACAAGACAGGAATGCGTTCGGTACATTATGCGCTAGGAAGAAAATGTCTAGTCCTGATCTCATACCAGCCAAAACAGTTTAATTACAGTCCTCAGCTTGGTTCAGAGCTGCAGGCATTACAGGCACCAGGGCAATGCAGCGCTGCTGGTATTTCCATAGTCCTTAAGGCAAGGCTGAACCAGCCATCCGCAGGATTCTGCCATCGTGCACGGGTGGTTCTTCTTAAAAGACCCCAACCAGCAAACGCTTCTCTGCTCTCACTGCTGAGAAACTGTACTTTAAGTTTGCCTGACATTGTCAGCCGCTGGATCTTACGCCACATTTTTCAGCAAGACTGAAAAGTCTTTTGTTACTGAAGAATTGTAAATACTAAAATCTAGAGACGCTTCTTTGTTGGGTTCAGAGTTTTCCAGTGAAAGGCTTTAAACTGCTGAAAGAGCAGTAGCTGAAGAGTCGGAAG